AGCACTGACCACAGAAGTGGGTTTTTTTTATTTTTTTTTTTTTTTTTTCATAAAAGAAAGGTCGAGAAAGGAAAAAACAAATCATTCAGGGATGGTCCCTATGGCCAGTCAGAAAGGTGAGAGACTCGGGCTTTGAAAACGATTCACACTCTGCCCTTTAACTTCAATGCCCTCCCTCCGGACTCTGCTGGAGCAGACGATTCAATTGACTCCTTTTGTATCCAGTTTATTGCTCAGAATCCCTAGGGTCTCGATCTGCTCTCAGAAGAAACGCGCCCTGCTGAGCTGCTCTTGGAGGCAGCCCCTCCCGTCTCCCCATTCCTTTCTCCGGGCGGGGAAGGGCAGGGGAGACTGCTGCTGAGCCGACGTCGCTGGGGACCGGCACCAGGCACCAGAGCCAGGCTCCGGGTCGGCGTCCCATAGGTGCGCTCTCATCCCTTGTGCTGCGCCCGGAAAGCCTTGGGAGTGGGCCCGGCTCAACTTCCAATGCCACCCGCATATACTCTGCAAACTGTGCAAAAGCCCTTGAAAAGTCCAGAGATGGGATAGAAGCCCCCAACGGAACCTAGGCCGGAGCCCTGTGCGCGTCTCTGATAAGTGGGTGGCGGAATGCACCCACCCGATCCCTGAGGGCAGCACCCTCGGATTGCCCAGGCTGTAGCGGACGAGGATGATCGCTGCGCGGCCTCCGCTCTCGCCATCTGGGCCACCGGCGCCCACCCCTAGAAGCTTCTCTGGCAGCCTGTAGATGCAGCGCGCACCTGCCCCAGCACTAGGGCGGAAGGGCAGGGGGCTGCGCAGCGCGCGGGAGTAGGCGGCGGGTACCGCGGGACGCAGGTGCCCCTGGAGCGGCGCGCGAGGCAGGTAAGGAAGTCAGTACGCAGAGGCAGCGGAGCCGGAGGAGAGCTGTGCGAGAAGCCGGGATAGCAAAGCCCCGCCTTTTCCTCGCCCCAGGAACTCCCAAAGGGAGCAAAGCGCCCCTCGCCCCCGCCCACTGCCGCTCCTCCGGGCTCCCTCACCGCCCGCACCCCGCGCTCTGATTGGCTGGCGCGGCGGGTCCCTGGCACGCGCCTGTGGATGTTGTTATAAGAATCCTCGCGTGCCGGCCCTCAGCTCCAGCAAGTCCTCCACAGCCCTCCCCAGTGCAGCGCGGGCGCCAGTCAGAGCGCAGCGGCCGCGGGCACTCCAGGGAGGCCTGGGGTCGGGCAGCCGGGCGGCCGCCTAGCTGCCCCCAGCCAAGGCCCAGGGAGGGAGGGGCTCGGACGGGCGACGCCGACCACCGAAACTTACCAAGAAGTACCAAGCGCAGCCCGGCAGTCCAGCTGCCCACTGCGGCGGCGAGCATGGACGCGGTGTTGCTGGAGCACTTCCCCGGGGGCCTGGACGCCTTTCCTTCTCCCTACTTCGACGAGGACGACTTCTTCACTGACCAGTCTTCCCGGGACCCTCTGGAGGACGGCGATGAGCTGCTGGCTGACGAGCAGGCCGAGGTGGAGTTCCTTAGCCACCAGCTGCACGAGTATTGCTACCGCGACGGGGCGTGCCTGCTGCTGCAGCCCGCGCCCCCGGCCGCCCCGCTCGCGCTCGCCCCGCCGCCCTCTGGGGGCCCCGGTGAGCCAGAGGACGGCTGCGGCGGCGGCGGCGGCTACTGCTGCGAGGCGGGGGCGCCCCCCGGCGGCTTCCCCTACTCGCCCGGCTCGCCGCCCTCGTGCCTGGCATACCCGTGCGCTGGGGCGGCGGTACTGACGTCCCCCGGGGCGCGGCTGCGCGGCCTGAGCGGAGCGGCGGCGGCGGCGGCGGCGCGGCGGCGGCGGCGGGTGCGCTCCGAGGCGGAGCTGCAGCAGCTGCGCCAGGCGGCCAACGTGCGCGAGCGGCGGCGCATGCAGTCTATCAACGACGCCTTCGAGGGGCTGCGCTCGCACATCCCCACGCTGCCCTACGAGAAGCGCCTCTCCAAGGTGGACACGCTGCGCCTGGCCATCGGCTACATCAACTTCCTCAGCGAACTCGTGCAGGCCGACCTGCCCTTGCGCGGCGGTGGCGCGGGCGGCTGCGGGGGCCCGGGTAGCGGCGGGCGTCTGGGCGGGGACAGCCCGGGCAGCCAGGCCCCGAAGGTCATCATCTGCCATCGGGGCACCCGTAAGTGCGTCCGCTTCCCAGCTCAGGGAGACGGGGACGGGCACTCGAAGGCTCCGGAGGGGCTGGAGGAGCTGACTGCCAAGCAGACAGACGGACCGACGGACTGTCAGCGGGCATGGGCAACCTTGAACTCGAGCTGGGGTTTTTCAGTTTTTTTTTTTTTTTTTCCTGCCACTTTGATCGCGGCTTTCGAGGGTGCGCGTCCCCGCCAGACTTGCAGCTCCTGGGATTCCTGGGAGGTGATGGTGGGGCCTTGAATTGTGGAGGAAGAGAGTGGTTCTGGTATAACCGGAGGACACCTGCTCAGTTGAGGTGCCCAGGAAAGGGTCCTAAAGGACTTGATGGGATCACTGGGAATGTGGTTGGAGATTCACAGTCTGTTTTCTCTTCTCACCTCTCCAGGGTCCCCCTCCCCCAGTGACCCGGATTATGGCCTCCCTCCGCTAGCAGGACACTCTCTCTCTTGGACTGATGAAAAGCAACTCAAAGAACAAAATATTATCCGAACAGCCAAAGTCTGGACCCCAGAGGACCCCAGAAAACTCAACAGCAAATCTTCCTTCAACAACATAGAAAACGAACCACCATTTGAGTTTGTGTCCTGAGAAGTCCCAGACTCAGCTGAGGATCTGATTATGTTTCTGTGCATATTGTACATGGAAATATCTATAATGTAAATGTAATTTAAGAATCAAATTTTTCTAATGGCAATCAACTGTTATTTATCTATTTATTCTGTTGAGTTGATGAAATCAATGATTTCTTTTTAAATATATAATTTATATAATTTATCCTGATTTTCTGAAAATATGCAATAGCCTATGATTTTCCTGAACTCTATGTTGCTGGGAGAACTCTGGCCGGAAAAGTCATGCTTATTTATTGCCAGATATGGTTTATTTCTAAGCGTTGTCAATAAATGCTATTTACGCCTTTTCCTGAAGGTTTTTGAGTACATGATTTGATAGATAATTGTTAGAAAGAATTAACTTAGTAAAAAATTAACCGAACCAGAGACTCAAAGTGTAGCTCTCCAGTAAGAAGCTACATTTCAGATTTAGCCTAAAGGTGGGTAAGTTAAAGGATTAGACTTACTCAACCTGCTATGTTCTATGACAGAACTTCATCTAGGTCGCCTGCCCTACATAACAGCTTTTGTCTGTATTTTTAGCCCACCTTCCATACACCCTGTGGGGCAAATATATCTTGGAGTATTTATTGTTCCCATTTTGCAAATGGGAAAGGTAAGGCTCAGAGATGACATTTGATTTACTCAAGGTCACCTCCACCCTGTCTATTCCTGGTGTATAAAAGTGAGCGCATGGTGTACGGTGGGAGCAGGGGACTAGTGGGTTGGCTAAGGAAATGGGCCTTTCTGCTTCCGCCGGCTGGGAAAGGGGCTGCTCTTGAGCTGCCCTGTGACCAACCTTTTCATTAGCAACAGCATCAGGTACCTGGAACTCAGGAGTACTCCTTTCAGAGGAGATGGGACAGGCTACGGTGCCAAAGCCTGAAGACCACTCGGAGGCCACTCAACAAAATCCAGGGTCTTTAAGGTAAGGTAGGAAGAAGCCGCTCGCTACCCCTGCCACTTTGCAATAAGCTTACTTCCAAAACTGAGCTCGTTTTGCCTTCAACAGAACTTGGTCCTCCTCGGCCAGCAACCTGGGGAGGAGGCGAGCCTGGGGCGGGGGGCGCAGGGTCTCCCCCTAGCGAAGGGGAGAAGAGCGAGGGCGCGGCCAAGGCCGCTGAGCCAGAAAGCCGGGGAGTCCAGGCTTGGGTTTGTCTCCTCTGTGGCCACGAGCTCCTCCCGGGCTCTCGAGGCGTCCTCCCCTGCCCGCCGGAGCCGGGACGCGCGGCAGTGGACGGCGAGGCCCGGCGCGCGCGCAGATGGCGCTGGCACAAGCGCCTACTGGAAACGCGCTCCTCCGCGTCGCACCGCAGCCCGCGCGGCGCAGGCCTGGCCCAGGCGGGCTGTGGCTCCGCGGTCCGCGGCGGCCTGGTCGGCAAAGGTGCACTTGCGGATAGCCCCTAAGATCCGCGGTCCTGCCGCAGGACAATTTGTTGGCAGCATGCTAATTGCTTTAGCCTAGTTTCAGACCCACCGAGGGGTTCCCCGCGCGCCGCGAGTGCCATGGAGCTCGTCCAAGAGCAATTAACGCGAGGCCGCGAGCCCGACCCCGCAGCGCGGCCTGGCCAGACACGCGGAGATTCTGGGTCGCGAGGCTCCCGGGAGCCCCTTAGCCGTGGACCCTCTCACCCCTTTTAAGCCTTCGCGCCCTCTCCCTCTCCTCCTCCTAAAAGAAGAGTTCACTTTGGAGACAGAATTTCAGAAGGAGAGAAAATAATTCGATTTTGCCCTGTATTAGGGCCTCATTAAACACGAAAGTTGCTTTTGCACAAATGCTTTCATCAGGCATGTAATCTCATTACACTCATTAGAAAGTCAAATGTTAGGCTCACTTCAACTTAATTATAAGTTATGGAAGTATCGTACCGTTTCCTTCGGCTGTGTAGACCTGCGTTTCTGTTGGATTGGGCAGTGTGGCACTCCGCAGTTAAAACACTGCAATCATTGTGATGTGGCACCTTTTATTTTGTGTGCCACTTTTTTGCGATTCAATGCCTCACACAACCTTTAGTGCAGTGCAGATGAAGCGGAAGAACCGAGCTGAGCATGCAAAACACCAGGGTCTCTATCTTGTCACTCTCTGTCCTGACTTGGCAAGTCCCTTTAAGCACAACCTTCAAAGAGACTGACAGCTTCTTTTTATTTACTCATAATCCATTCATTCTAGTGTAGCAATTCTTTTTTTAAAAAAAAATGCAGCAGTAAAGGCAGAACAAACGTATCATTTCAGAGTCTTCTTTGGCGTCAGGGAGGCCTGAGCTGCGCTGGGTGCAGGGGCTGCCCTCCTTGTGGCAGTGCCAGGCTGGAGAGCCTCTGGCCCTGGGCATCTCTGGCCAGCAAATACAGCCTGGCACTGGAAGGATCATGTGAGGGCAGTTTGAGTGACAGGTATTCAATGGTCCTCCTAAGTCCACACTTTTCCTGCAACTTAAAAAAAGATGCATATGAAAATAATTGAGCCAAACTCCTGGATGGGTATGGACAGCCTTTGCCTAGCCCGGCCCTTCTGAACACCCATCAGCCCCTGCGCTGAAACCCAGCCTGGGACCACCAAGGGAAAGAGTTTAAAGTCCGCCCTGGCTGCCCTTGTCCATTTAGCATAATAAAGAAGCTGCAAACCCAGTACAGGGTGCATTTTATGATCTCTATTGGAGAGCTGGCTAAATCATTCTCCAGTGGTCCAGACTCCACTGCTAGCCGTAGTGGGGGGAAGGAGCCCTGGAGTGTCTAGATAAAGTCTTCGGAGCACAGAAGTGACGTGGGGTACTCTCTCCTCCTCTCCCCCAACCTCTCACACCCTCCTGCCAAACAC